ATTTTTCAAACTCTACGAAATATCCCAAGGGGTAACTTTGCCCCCACTATTTGTATGCTTCCCGTTCCATATAATGGGACCCCAAACCGTCTCCACTTACTCAAGAACTCTAATCTCCGGCCTTAGTTCTTCCTGGGCAAACATCACAAAATACTTCACCATAACCTCATCTTTGAAGAAATGGAGAACCAGGGAGTTCTGACCCAAGAACCCAAGAGTCTTTCCCTGTCCGGCAGTGGACGAAGAAGCTGTGACAGTTATTCGAGTTCGACGGAATTTGAGTTCTGGATGGTACGAAACCCGTCTTGTCCACAGCCCGATCTTCTCTCAGCCGATGAACTCTTCGTTAATGGCGTCCTCCTCCCTCTCGACCTTCTACCCACCAAGCAACCGGATCCGAATCCACCTCCTGACTCGGATCCTTCCTCCTCTCAACCTGCTGGTCCTGGCCTAGAACCTGAACGATACCCAGATTCCGAACGTGGTTCTCGTTTAATTTCCGATCCCGTTACGGCTATTTCAGCTTCGAAACGGTGGCGAGACATTTTTAAGAAGGATAAGGGTAAAGGCGGCACGACGAAGAAACACGAGGTGGAAGAGGGAGAGAAAGGGAAAGAGAAGAAGAAGGAGAAGAAGAGCCAAAGCCAAAGCCAAAGCGGGGTGAATCCGGCGGAGTTGAACATCAATATATGGCCATTTTCACGTAGCAGATCCGCCGGAAACAGCGGGACCCGACCCAAGATGAGCGGGTCTTTACTGAACCGGAAGGTAAGCAGCGCTCCTTGCTCGCGGAGCAACTCGGCCGGCGAGTCCAATATGAGGGTTAAATGGCCAAGTAGTCCGGGTCGGACCGGGGTGCATTTGGGTCGAAGCAGCCCAGTTTGGCAAGTCCGGCGTGGGGGCTCCGGACTAAAGAGCTTCGATGGATTAATCCGGAACCGTGAAAAGGGGCATGGCTCTGGTATAAACGAAGTCACGGAGTCTCGCCGGAGTAAAAACATCGGCAATGGCGGTAAAGCTCGGGTCTTGAACCTGAATGTTCCCATGTGTATCGGTACCCGGCATAATTTGAGCTGTAGAAGTGACGAGAACGGTGCCGTCGATGTGGGTACTCGCACCGACAATAGCTGCAGCAGCAGCGGCAGCAATGGCCAGCCGACCACTGTCGGAGGTGGTGGCACTGGTAGTCTCTTTAATCTAAGAAATCTCTTTACTAAGAAAGTGTATTAAAAATTAACCTATTCTCTATTTCTCATGTCAAAGTAATTATTGTTTTTTTTTTTTCTTCCTTCTTATGTATAAAATTAATTGTAATATTAAATTTTACTAAGTAGTCTATTAATTACCATGTTTTGTCACTTAAAATTCCTCACATTTTGGTTTACTAACATCCAAATCTGCATTGGTACATTTGTTCAACTTCTGTTACTCGATTCACCTAAAAGGCTTTTTAGGGACTTATTTGACAAAATTAAAATTTGAAGGGATTAAATTGACAAAAAAAATTAATACTTATTTGTTTTATCTTTTAAAAATTAAAAAAAT